AAACTAAGTATGTCTGTTCTTCAGGCCACTAGGATGCTACTGGCTGCTTGTAATTTCAGAAAAAATTGCCTGCACCAGCCAAATAGGATCACCAAATGGAGGTCTTGGGCAGCAGGTAGAGTTACATTTCACCTGCACAGGATGTTGTGGAAAAGAAGTCTCTTGGTATCAGGGGGTGACTTTGATCTGAAAAGACGCTGATGTTGAAATACAGTTGTTTGTGGCACAGCTCCATTCTGGATGGTACCACCTTTGAAGTTTAGCAATGAATCACAGAATTATAGAGTCATTTGTGTTGGAAGGCAGCTCTGGAGATCATCCAGTCCAACCCCCCTTCCAAGGCAGGGTAACCTAGAGCAGGTGACACAGGAACATGTCCAGGTGGGGTTTGAAAGTCTTCAGAGAGGGAAACCCCATGACCTCCCTGGGCAGCCTGTTCCAGTGCTCTGCCACCCTCAGTGTGATGAAGTTCTTTCTCATGTTGAGATGAAACTTATTGTGGTTTAGTTTATGGCCATTTCTCTTCATCCTGTTGCTGGGCAGCACTGAAAAGTCTGGCACCAGTTTGTTTTTCCACAGTGCAGAGACTTTCAAAGCAGAGGTTCAACTTCATAGTTCTGGAGCGGGTTCATAGGTCCACACATCTTGACACAGTTGTTCTGTGCCCATTGGGTGTCTCAGGGGATCACAGGGATCCACACAGAGAAGGAGGGCATGATACAGGAGACCAGCACCTTTCTGGCTTATCTTACCAGATGAGATATCCAGCTCATCTAAAACAGCCTCGGGTGCTGTCTTCAGGCAACCAGATCCCACCAAGTTTGTCATATTTTAAAATCCTGTGTTGAGTAGCCCAAATAAACACACTGGCTGCAGACAGTACTTCTAACTGAAACCTGCTGTCCTGCCTCCTGTTCCTTTTTTGTTAACTTCACCGGTGTTAAATCAGGGCTAACAACAGTGATACCAATCCCCTGCAGAGTAGCCCTTCTGAGGGCAGATACCTGCTGTGAGTCATTGCAAAGTAGTTGTCCTTTCTCTCCTCTGGGAGGCCAGCCTCAGTGAGAGATGAGGGTCCAGGTTGGTGTCCACATCTGCCAGCCCCTTGCCAGTGATGCCCCTCAGGAAAGGGCTCCTTTATGAGCTTTGGAGAAAGCCACCTTGCAGCTCTGTTTTGGGAGAGACACCAGCTCCCTATCCCCGCTGGACAGGGCAGTTACGTCAGCTAAGGGTGGAACTGGCTCAGTGTCATTTGTCATACAACATCATGCTACGTCCTGTAGCAGCTCAGGACAAACATACCCATGTGTGGGACCCATGGATGACCAAGGGCAGCATGTGGCAAGGGAAACTGCAGCAGGTCCCTGTGCCAGCCAGCCCCTGCAGATATATGTATGGGGATGTACACATGGATGCATGGGAAGTCACCTGGGATATTGTCATAGCAGCAGGAGTAAAGCCTGAGCCATGGATATGAGTACTCACCCTGTTCTTAAAGTATTTGTCCTATGCTCCCTGAGTTCTTCATGGCTGTGGCTTCCCTGTTAGCCAAATCCAGCCTGGTTTGAAACTTTCTCAGGTTTCTTTTTGCAGTCTGCTGGCCCAACCTCTCACTAGTGTGCTGCAGCAGAAAACAAATAACCTGGGAAGTAGCAGTTCAAGGCAAAACTGGGTCGATGCACATTTATAGTCAATTAACACATGTCACCATTCTGCCTTCACAATTAAAGTGAATGCACCTAAGACGTGAGAATAATCTCAGTTAAAGCTGTAATGTAACCCGAAACTTTTGCTTCTTGGCTGAGTGCATCCTGTGATGGTGTTGCTGAATTTATGCTCTACATGGCTATCACACTTTGAGTGACTTGGATTTCTAATGTCTGCTCTAATGATCATGCTTTCCTTCTCTTCAAATTTATTGGAAGCACACCTGGACTTAAAAAGTATTTCATTCCAGCCCCAGTTCTTCCTTCAACTTTTGACTCAGGGACTGTGACACATGGCTGTGCCATCAACCTTGGCAGGTCTGTGAGGACTTGAAAGTGCCTGGAGGCTGCTTACTACTGGTAAGCCTCCTTCCCCGAGGTGTCCAGCACCCTGACAGTGCCAGCACTTCAGTGAATCTCTGGCTGAAGTCATTCAGCACAGAGCTGGTTTTCAACTTCCAAAGGTTACACAGTTTTCAAAATGCCTGCCCCACCCTCCATCTTTCGGAAAGTGTTTGTGCAGGGGTGGCAGGTGCTGTAGAGGCAGAGGTTGGGTTGAGGATCCCAGCCGCACAGCCTTCGGATATTTGCAACCAGTTTTTCACAAGTGCAAAAAACCCCTCTCTGTTCCTGCATTATACATCTGTATTTTGTCTTTCAGAACCTCTACTCACTTCTTCCTTTGGGTCCCTCCCTGCACATATGTCTGATTTGTAGTATCCCTTTGTTTGAATTGTAAGCGCTTCAGATCAGCAGTCATGTCTCCATCAGGGTCTTGACAAGAAGCTTACACGATAGGTTGACTTAAAACCACTCATCTGCAACTGAGGTATCATAGGCTTTTGCAAGGAATGAACAATCTCATTCCTTTGAGAAGCTTTTCCTCATGAAAAAAGTATTTCCCAACACTGATGTGATTTTGAAGTCTGTCAGTCTCAAATATTTTTTTAATAATTAGCTTATTATTTACATATTTGGGAGAGTTAGCTTGATTTTTAGTTTCTAGTCCTTCCCAGTACTACAGGTACACATATTTGCACATATGTGCAGGTGAGAGAAGCATCCTTCATTACCTGAACACATATAAGTTTATGAAGGAAAGGATTCTTAGTTCTTGGTCACTGCAGCAAGGGTTACTAGGAAAAAAATACTGTGAGATTCATAGTAAAAATCACTAGAGTGGACAACTTTTTAACTAAAAAGAGCTCTCTTGTGGCCACCCTGGTTGAGCTTTGAAGTATGCCCTTTCACATACTTTGCCTCTCCCCCATCCTTCTTACTTTGTGATCGGAAGTCTACCTTCATGGAAAAATGATTTCATCAGGTTTCAGTAGTCTCCTGACAAGCCAAGCATAAAACAAAGAGAGCTGCCGCTCCGCACCCACACGTGTGCTGCCGTCTTCCAGGAAATGATAATCAGAGGCTGACCACAGTGCTGTAAGAAATTAAACATGTGATCATCATCAAATACCAAAACACGTCTACCTGTATTATGTTAAGAGCACAGAACCCACAGTAGTAATTTTTTAACTGAAATACTTGGCTTGGAGGCAAAGCTGGGGTTTGCAGTGATCATACTGAGTTGTGAATTACCAAGGCTCAAACCAACATATTTTGCTGTGTCTTTCCACATGCAGCCCTCTGGTAGGTGCCTGAAAATACTATTTTTCTTCTTGACTGAAATGTTGTAGCAATGTCCTGTTCTGCACAGAAGATAGGCAGGAAAAATGCATTATGCATTAATGGGATTTGATGGAGTGTGAGCTCAGTTTCCCCAGTGCCACCAGAGACAGAGTAAAATTTGCTTGATCATTTAATGAGTTGAGAATAATTTTTTTTGCAGTGCTGTGAATATAACCTAGCTACAAGTGGACAGTAGTTGTTGTGAGGAAAAAATTATTCATCTGTACGATAGATCAGTGTCATCTGGAATTTAAGAATTGAAAATTCAAGGTCAGAGGGCAGCTGACCCTTGATTTTGCTCTCTCTGCTCTATCCACGGCTTTGATCATGCTACATCTTTCTTTGTGCCTGGTGCTCAAGAGAGTACCCCAGGGTCATGGCCTGTTTCCTTGTCGAGAGGTATAAACCTGCCGGCCTAAATATCTGAGGCCCAAGCTTTAGCAGGGGTGGGGGCATAAAGGAAGAGGGGGGGAGCATTTCCTTCATGCTTTTCACTTTTCCCCCATAACCCAAAGCAGACTAAACAAAACCAGTGTGAAATCGCATGGCTTGATGCTGCTATGGTTATATTTTTTAAGCTGTCATCCATTCATTTATATTTATGTTTATTCCCTGGATTTACAGCTTTTTTTTGGCCTTTTCTTGCAGGGAGGTGCAAGGGGAGGTCGAAACCTTTTGAAAAGGGATTGCAGTAAGCAGTGGCCTATGATTAAAGCACTGTGTTTTTCCTTGATGCCGCTCCTCTGCAGCAGTGTCACACATGGTAGCATTTAGGAGCCCTTCACAGCTGAGGTGTTTCAAACACTAATGAATGGAAGTTTGGTCGTATAAGGCAGGCAAGCTTTAAGGCAAGCTTTGCTGAATGGTGTACTGTAGTGGCCTGGGAAAGGAAGAGAGTTATAAATTGTGTCAGTTAGCCACCCAGACAAAATGAAGCCATGTGGAAAATCAAATCTATTAAAGTATGAAGACTGTTATAAGCTGCTTTAAGCTGGTCATTCTTCAAAGGTCTCAGTTGGCTGAGGGGGTGAATTCCTCTTCTTCCTAGATCTTTTTCACGTGCTGTCTTAGGCGATGATGTTCAGTGTTTGATAAAAAACAGCTTTTCATTGATAGCCCCTTTATTAGAAATGTTGGTTGCCCCCAGTTCACCACCCATGTCCTGAAAGGTACTGAACATTCATTTAAAAAGTAGAATAAGAACATCACATTTGGTCAGGCTTGCTGAAGGCAAACATGAAGCAGCACTAGGGGCCAATGAGGAGGAAAAAGCTTCCCAGAGCAGCTGCTTATGATTGGATAGGTGCTCAAAATGCTTTCCATTTTCTTGCTGCCCATGTCTGCTGGCCATAAGAGGCCCGTGACAAAGCATGACACAGAATGCTTTTTCTTGACATCTCTTGGAGTAGAAGAAAAACCTGGCAAGGCAAGGTGAGGGGGTCAGAGAGCAGGGTACCTTCTCTTCCTCCCCAAGGTGACTTCTTGAGACATCACAGAACCTGTAAAGGGCATTTTATTAGCTCAAGAGGTAATTGTGTGAGGGACAGCTGAACTGGCGGCCTAAGATGCATGGTCACCATGGTATTTATCATTCCTATTTGTGTTTTCTAGGAAGAGACTGAAGAAACGTCCTCACAAGAATCTGCAGAAGAAGACTAGGAGATCACACCATGCAATTTCTACCTCATCAGCAGTTGGGTCTTTTGAAGGGAGAAGACACTGCCTTGACCACTTACTTTCTCTTGCCATGGTCTTTCCACTTTTGCCTGGGGGAAAAAAAAAATCACATAACCTTAAAAAGGATTTGACTAATCATCTTCTTTGTAATCCCTTCACAGTCCCAGGTCTAGTGAAAAACTGCTGTAACACAAAGGGGACACAGATTAACGATGCAACTTTTAATTACTGTTTTCTTTTTTCCTAACCTACTAATAGTTTGTTTGAGCTGCTAAGTAGGGGTGACTGGGTCAAGAAGAGCTCCAAATCAGGTTTATGTCATTCACTGCACTGCGTATAAACAAGAAACTTGTAAGATAGTCATTATAATGGGCATTGAAATAGGAAAGGCTGGGTGTGTAACACTTACGCCTTGCAACACTTCCAGCAGCCCACTCCCTACTTAGCAAACTCCCTGTTTTAGAACACCAAAGATAGGGGATAGATACTATTCTTTTTCTTTTGTAACCTTCTTGTAGACTTGTACTTGATTTTTTTTTTTTTTTTTAAGACTTACTATTATTTTGGGGGAAAAAATGAAAGCTGATCTTTCATTTCATTCAGCTGGTAATCAGAAGAAAGAAATCAACATGGAAAGGTACTTTCATTTTGCAAAAGGGAAGAAAGACAAAGATACGTTGTATAGTTATAGATACAAACATATCAGCACAAGCAGTAGTAAACCAAATGAGCAGACCTTACCATCTGGATAATAGGAAGCCAAGGAGTTGGCTTTCTTAGAGCCAGGAGTTTTCTATGGAAACAAAAATGACTGACACCACTCTTATGCCATTAATGAGTAAGTCTTTATTGATGAAAGTCTTTTAAAACATACAGAAAGGTACCTAGAAATTAATCATAAATTTATCTGAACAAAAATAATCCAGATTTTTGCTTAGTTTCTACTAATTCCACTTGCCCTGTACCAGTATTTTGAAAGAATTGAATCTTTCCTCATTACTCATCAGTCACAATGTAAGAACGAACACCATGTACCTCAGCTAAGCTCGTGCGTTACGTTAAGCAATGTATTCTGACATAGGATGGTTCACTGAGCACCTCTGTGCCAGTGGCATTTCTCCATCTTTTCATTCAAAGCAGCACTTTCAGCACCAGATGCAATATTACCCCACTATTCAATACTACCTCTGATTTTTGCAAGTAACTCAACAGACTGATAAATACATGCTGCTATACACATTCAATGCAGGAAATTTTTACTGGGTAGATAATCATGAGTATCTGCATTTTCCCCTTATTTCTATTTCAACCTTTTTTGCAGTTAAGGAAGCAATGTCTTTTTTGTGTTTCAGCATGACTATGTGTTTTTCTTTCACTTGGTTTGTTTGATTTTTTTTCTTTTTTTTTTGTGTGTGGGTTTTTGGTTTTGGTTTTGTTTTGTTTTATTTTATGTACTTACTCTATTCTCTGCTAGACTTCTGTGTAATGTACTGTTAACTTGAATATATTTTTGTATTGAATTGCTGATAGGTTTGTGAGGATAATTTTCTTCAAGGACACTACATGACAGAAAAAATTTAGCTGTAAAGTTTAAATATTACTGTCCAAGTTTGTACCTCAAATGAATTGTTTAAAGAAATGGACTAATTGATTGACAAAGACCTACCTCCAGACTTTAAATGGAATGAACTTGTTACTTTCAGCATCAGTTTTAAGACGTTTGAAACAGTTAGGACTGCAACTAATCCCTAATTCAAAATTATTTTTGTAAAATAACTTGTGGAAAGTGAACACATTTTAAATTACTTTCGTATTAAAAATAAAAAAAAATGAACAAAAAAAACCTTCAAAGAAACTTGAAGCTTTGTAGGTGGGAAGCAACAAGCTCAGCTTTTGCATAATGCAATCACAATTATGTGTTTTTAAAAAAAAAATTAGTAGATTGTAAGAAAATACTTGACAAGTATTTTCGTGTATTTTACACAAATGTGATTTTGTAATATGTTTCAGCCAGATTTATTTTAAATGCTTCTTATGTAGAGGTTTTTTATTCTCCCGTCTCTCACTTTTGTCGTTCTTTCTCTCTCTCTCTCCCCCACCTCCAATTCAATTTTCTCTATTTCTGTTTTATTTCTCTTCTTCCTCTCTTTCCTAGTCAGTACTTTGTACCATTGTATTAATAACTGGGCCAGGGGTAGTTTCTCAGGAAGGCGTCTGTTGGTGTGGCTTTAGCGTGGAGCCAAGTGCAGTTAAGGATAACGACTTTAGCATGGAGCCAAGTGCGGGATAACGTTAAGCATAACGACTTACTGGCTTCTTCCAAGAGGCAGTGTCAAGAAATATGGACCTCCGCGAAAGGCTGCGCAGGGTTCAGTGGTGGGAATTGCTAGGAAAGAGCTGATGGAATATTATAACTAGACATGATGATATCAGGTGAAAGAGAAATAATCCTAGCTATAAGTAGCTCTAACAGGCCAAATCCAGTGTCACTTGAAGGCAGTAATGGGAATTTTGCTGACTTCAAAGGGCATCAAATCAAGCCTTAGCAAGTCCCTTTTGGGGTCTGAGGGGTTTTGTTGCATTTTTTAAAGCCACGGTATTCAGTGGATGACAGAGAAATAATTGCTCTGTGTGTCACTCTTCAACCTCTGAGAGACTTACCACTCTGATGAACTGAATCTTACGTTTTCTATATATTGTAGTACAATCAAAACACATTACTACCTCTTAGGGCCTACTATACCTCATTTTTTCAGACGGAAAAATTGCATGTGGCCATTGAGTCAGTGAGAACATCATAAAATTTTTTTATATATATAGTTTATTTTTGTGGGAGATAAATTTTATACGACTGTTCTTTGCTGTCATTGGTCACTGCTAACTATGACTGGACATGTAACTCTTCTACCATTTCTGCAAGAGAGGTGTGTTTGCAGGAAAAAAAAAATTGCTTCAAGATGTTGAACTACAGTTTACTTTTCCTTTTGAGTGTCTTCTAACTTTTTGCTTTGTTCTTCATGTAGAGTTGCTGTCTATGATTGTACTTCAAATCGCTTGCTTGTTGAAAATGTTCCTTTAATGGTTTATCACAGTCTGTTCAGCACAATAAACATAATAGCCTCTGTGATCCCCATGTTGCTTGATTCCTAGACTTTGTCACAGTTCCATAAAATGGGTAATAAAGTTTGGTCACGATGACCAAATTTGTAAAATCTTTGCATGCGAGTAGTCTTTTTCTTTTGTCCCAGGACCAAAGGCATGTGTCTGAGAAGTTAATTTTCTGTTAGGGGCCCCAGGGGTGGGCACTTAGCAGAACTACACATCTTAGGAGGCTCCCCAAAAGGTGACACACCCATTCCTGTCCCAGGACTTGCTGTGCTGAGCTAAGGGCTGAACTGTGCACTTGGGGACCAGCAAGTACCCACCAGACAGGGAGCACCATAGCACAGACCAGGCTGATAGGGGCTTTTTGCCTGGTCCCAGATCTGCCTATTGGGGGTCCACCAAGATGATGAGCCTCCTCTTCTTAAGGAAGATTGCAGTTTGCATCCAAGTTCATGGAGTTTCCATTATGCAGGCATTAGGTTAGAAAGAGCAGCTACTCAGAGCAGGAGACACAGGGATATGTCTGGGTACTGTCTGAGGCACAAATTGAAGAGCTCAGGAAACTGTATTAAAACTAAGCTACCCCCAATTCCCAGAGGTAAGTTGGCAGGATTCTTCTGTCTTCTCTTAATTTGCTCTTCCATGGTCTCTTGGCCTGTTACAATGAGACTTAAAAGTCATAGAACTGTAGAATATCCAGAGTTGGAAGGGACCCACGAGGACTATCAAAGTCCAGCTCCTGGCCCTGCACAGGACAGCCACAAGAATCACACCATGTGCCTGAGAGTGTTGCCCAGACAGTTCTTGAACTCTGTCAGGCTGGTGTTGTGGCCACTTCCCTGGGGAGCCTGTTCCTGGCCTGACCACCGTCTGGATGAAGAATCTTTTTCTGATACCTAACCTAAACCTCCCCTGATTCAGCTTCATGACCTTTTCTGGAGTCCTGAACCTGGTCATGAGAGTGAAGAAATTAGTGCCTGCCCCTCTCCTTCCCCTCTGTGAGGAAGCTGAAGCCCTCTATGAGGTGTCCCCTCAGTCTCCTTTTTCCAGGCCAAACAGGCCACGTGACCTCAGCTGCTCCTCATACCGCTCCACCTCAAGGCCCTTCACCATCCTCATGGCCCTCCTTTGGACACTTTCTAACAGATTTATACCTCTTTTTTATTATGGTGCCTAAAACTACATACAGGACTTAAGGTGTGGCCATACAAGTGCAGAGCAGAGTGGGACAGTCACCTCTGTCATCTGATTAAGTCGTCTGTGGTGCATATCCATTGATTCATATTGGCAACCATTCCTCTCTCACCCAAGGGGATTGTGCAGCTATTATTTCCTGAGATGTGTAGGTTTACACATTCTTTGTGTTCACTCATTTGCAGACTCTCCACTCTCAACGTCTGTCTTCCCAAGGGCTTCATGACATGTTTCCTTTGGCCTCTGTTACTTGTAAAATAACCAAAATAAGATGATAAAAAAGTACTAAGTAACAACACCCATTCAGCCCTGAGTCAGATGTGAGTAACTGCATTCATCACATTATGTCCTCTTCTGCTTTGTCACCCTGCTTAGTGGTATTAAAAGTATCATTCCAGAGTTCAGTTTTCCTGGTGGTCATCTTCCCTGTGTGTGCCATCACTTGACTCTTCCTGTTATTTTATCTGCAACCCACTCACCTGATGGGTGAGCCAAGTGGCTCAGCTTCTGCTACTCTGTGCTTAACTCCCCTTTACTTCTTAGTCATTCCTCCAGCTTGCTTCACTTCCACTTCCCTTCCCAGGGAATAAACGTCCCAATAAACTTCTGCATGCTTTATTCCATGGTGAGAATATTTGTGTGTACAAAACTAATTGGCTTCTGCAGGACCAAGGCCGGCACTTGTCTAGCAGCCAAGAATGCTTTATCCAAGATGCCTGTGGCAGGAGTCATATTAAGTTCCTGGTTTTGCTTTCCTCTGCCATCACATCCACACAAATATGGGGAGGAAGTACTGAAAGCTGGTGCTGCCAGTGCCTTGCACAGCTATTTAATTGTCCATAGCTCTTTTCAAAACCAAACCATCTGGTCTGGTCATCATTAGAAACACGACCCAGAGCAATGGCAACATGCTCTCCTGATCACACAAGAGGAGTCAGATTTGTCATGCCTCACACTTCACCTGAAGCCTGAATAATGCTTTTCACCCCAGCACCTCTGCATACAAGGACATAGAATTTTGCTTCTCAGTTTTTCCTTTTTTGTGTCCCACCATCTTTGTGATTACATTAATTTTTAAATATACAGAAGTACTTAAGCATTGTCATGGTTTAGGAATGGCACTCCTGCTCCGTCCCTCAGGGCCCTCCAGTGAGACAGACAAAAGGCAGAGATTTTGAGCTAAGAACAACTTACTAGAAACAGCAGTGAGATAAGAAAATAAACAGTAACAGCAACAATATTAATAACAACAGTGTACAGGAGAGAGGGTGTTTTGCATGCAAATTGCTCACCCACTGACCTGATGCAGCACGACCCTG